AACTAACAATAATTTCTTTTTGTAGGCTAAGATTCTTGAACACAAACCAAAACCAATTGAGATTTTTTTAGAAACTCATATATAAAATGATGATCATTGAAAAGGGATGTAGCAACTTCCAGATTGTTGACCTCAAATGTTCATGGTAAGTTGGATTTCAAAAGTTTTTTAGTAAAATATTATTTTTCTAAATCAATTGGTTGGTTATTTGTTTGGATCAGTTGGTTGGTTTTTTTTTTTTTAGGAAATATATATCACTTAATTACAGGAGAAATATAAGGACAATCTTTCAACCCATCCTAAACTTGATCCGGATTTATAATTGGAGGTTAGATTATCTAGTAGACGAGATATAAATTAGGTTTATGGTATCTCAAATACTACGACCAAGAATTTATGGATGTCTCGTAGTTCCTTGATCATTGGATGCTCATAATCAGTTTTGAGCACTCAATCTTCAGAGTTCTAGGTGATTTTACAACATGTTAAAACTGAGACCATTTGGCTTATTACCGAGACAAAACAATTTAGTGTTGAAACGACTAAACTTAGACAATTGTACATGGAGCAACAATAAACATAGGTGGTATATGTGGTCCACCTCATCACCCCATGGTCCCAATAAAAACCGGCCTCCTCCTTTTTCTCATTCAGCCCCTCACCTCTATATTAATTTTATTCAAATTGATAATTTTTTAAATTTATAATAAATATTTAATATTTAATTTTAATTATATTTATTATAATTTTTTTCTACTTTGTTTATTAGAATTTTTAAAATAAAAACTTAAACAAATTATTGACTAAATTATCAATGGACTAACCGTGTTGGAAATTTCCAGAGAGTTGATAAAAAATTACATGAAATGTCATTCATTATTTCAAACAGAATCATCAATGGAAGAAATCCCTTAAAAAGTTTGAAAAAAATTGCAGAAAATTCCATCAATAATATGTACTCACCAACGAGTTAATTATATCAGTAATATGAATATAAATCACCGATAGATTTATAAATAGTATTTTCTATCAATGATATGCTATACACACCGATAAAAATACCAACAAAATGATACCATAATTATTATTTTTTGACATGTTTTTTTCATTTATAATTCTATCGGTGATTATACTATTGATAGAATAAGTGACATAATACAAATCATTGACAATACATTTCCTGGCAAACAATAATTGTTTGTAATTCCATCGATAAAAATATTTTTGATAAAGTAAGTGTTTAAAATCAAAGGAATAATCTGTCAATAATATACAAAATTCTGGTACTGAAATTTTAAATGTTTTAAAATAGGTCAATAAAAGCCAATAATAAAAATAATAAAAATTTATCAAATATTAAATTAGATCTTTTTTTTATCAAATATTTTATTATTGTTTTGTTTTACATTTACTCTTTTAGAAGAAGGAATTCCTAAAATATGTGTTATTCCTTTTTATATCGCTACTTATAATAAAAGAAGACTTCTTTAAACAAAATAATCTAGAATCTTTCTAGTCATGAGTATATTTTTAATTTTTATGCATATCACACATAATTAAAATTAAATTTATAAAATTATACTAAAATATAATAAATTTTTCAATTGGATATTTGTTATTTTTCTATAGGGTACCTTGATGATTATTTTTTATTTTTTATTTTCTCATTTAGAGAGAAAATAATATATATCATCAAACCTTGATAATATTTAAAATAATTTCTTACCTAAAATATAAAATAAAAGTTTTATTTGTTTTTATATTTTCAATATTTGCCTCACATTTTCTAAAAATGAAGGTGAAGACTTTAAAACATAACAATTTCTAAAATCTATAACACTAATGCAATCATGTTAAAATTTTATGGAGTCTTGATTAAAATCTTTATTCAAGTTTTACCTTATATATTTATATATACAAGGTTCTATTCAAATGTTTTAATCCTATATAGTATTTTATAAAAATATTATTTTCTTACAATTAATTTTAATATTTTTATAGAAACTTTTATTGATACATATGAAGTGAAAGGATGCAAGTATATATGAATGGTATAATCACACATCACAAAACTTTTATTCATATATGTTGTTAAATTATTCATTGCTCTCTTGTAGAGATGACAATAGGCATCTATAAATTATATTTCTTTATATTCATACTCTATTTCTTATTCGAGTATCTATTATATAACTATTATTTATTATCCAATAAAAAATAAAATGGCAATATATATATATATATATGTGTGTGTGTGTGTACTATATCAATATTAAGATATGTATATATATTGAGTTTAATAATATATATATTATATTCATTACCTATTGAGTAAAAAATAACTATTGAGGTTTATTGAAGTTGATACTCATTATCATTCTTAATCATCTAATTAAGTTTGAAATCTCAAAAGCATAGAGAGTTTTCAATAAAATGTTATTCTCTCATAACACAATACACTTGCTTTTATCTATCTATTTATTTATTTATTTATTTATTTTAGTAAATGATAGATATAAATTAACAAACACCTTTTGAAAATTCGATAACCAAACCCAGCTATAAAATAAACGTAAGGCGGTGTAAATGACAGACCCATAGCCACGGCTTATTTTCCTCAAGATTGCGAACCCACGCGCAAAAGATGGGCCAAGGTTTAGTGAGACCCACTTCCCCTTCCCTGTGACTTGCTAGTCATGAGACGGTTTCAATTTTTCCATATCAAATAATTGTGGAATATTAATCAGTTTTTTTAATAATAATAATAAAAAAAACAGGTTGGCTAAGAGAGAAAGAGGCCATGTATAACATTCTAAAGGAAAAAAAAAAAAAAAAGAGTTTCCAGTTTTATAATTATATAACGTAAAAATAAGGCAACAACGGGTGGTCAATGGTCACCCAATCGAGAATGGTGGCTGGTTCCTTCTTAAAGATGGCCATCATGATTTAATAATTAAATTCGGATTGGGATCTCAATAATATGAAAATGATCGGATACAATTTACAGAAGCAAGTCAATCCAAACGACAGCCAAAATAAAGGGCAAGTAACGTGTTCCCTTCGTAGCCATGAAGGTCCAATTTAAGGTATATAATGAAAAAATTTATAAACTTTTTAATTTGCATATGGATGTTTTATTTCTAATTTAGTTCACGTGTCACAGCTAGGCTAAGAATTAACAAAAACAATTAAATAGCATGAGGTTGGGTTAATTATTTCTTGTGAATAGTAAATTAGATTAATATATTTTGCTAATCACTTGGTTAATAACTTTATATCATAACTTAGTTGGTTAACCCACATAATTTGATTAAGATTACATATTTGATTAGTATTTAGAACAAATTTGATTTCATTTTATATACAATAGATAAACAACCTATTGTTTACATATTTTTATATATTTTTTTTTTAAAAAAAGTAGATAACTTGGTAATGCCCACACATTTGGGTTTTCTGTAACAATTCTTTTAGGTTTTTTAATACATGTTTATGATATTTTGATATATATATATTTTTAATTTTATTTTGTGTGAGCTTTTATATATAAAAATTTTATCATTTAATAATTTTTTTCCTTTTTATTTTTTTATTTTCATTCTTTAATTTGAGTTTTTTATTTAGTTTATTATTTAATTTTGGATTGATAATAAATTTATTTTTTATCATATAATAAAATAAAAATTAATTTGATTTACTGGAATCATAATCATAATTATGGATTTGACAGGTTCATCAAAACTAATTTAATTTATTTTTTTACCTTTAAATTTTTATTTTTATACATGTTTAACCAACAAAATTATGTTGAGGCAACTTTCAAGTAGTTTAATATGAAAACTAAATTAAATAAAAAATTATATTGTAAGTTTTAAAACTTCAATTATTGTAATAATGTAAAGAAATCCTGAAAAGTTTTTTATAGTTTAAATATTATTTTTTTATGTTTCAGAAATTTTTTTTGTAAAATCTGCACCTGAAAATAAACTAGTATTTTTATTTAACAAATAAAAGAAATAAGGAGATAAAAAAAAAAAAAAAAAAAAAAAGAAGGAAGAAACAAATCCCCTTCAAAAAGATCTCCATTCAACGCGGAAATTAACAAATTAATGAAACTCACCGCCCCATACTCAACGTCACCGGCCCACCATACCGCCCTATTCTCCACGTCATCGGCCCATCTTCCTCTTCAACGGTCTCCCACTGGATATGTCTGAGTCCCACTTGAAGAATTTGAGTTCTTCTAAACCAAGTTAAACAGCCCCACGGTTCCAAGTTTCTAATGCATTTGGCGCTTGTCACAATCTCCTAGAGAAAGCAAACTTTTCTAGACCGTAATAGTTGGCACATTAGGGTAGGCAGGTTGCTTTTGTTCCAATTTACCAATCAATTTTATACATATAAGAAAAAAATCACTCAAATTGTTCAAAATTGGTTAATATTTGTAGATATTAGGAAAACTTACCGGTGATTTAAGAATTTATTTTTTTATTTTTAAATTAATTATTTCAATAATAATTTAATTAGTAGGATCAAAAAATTATCTCGCAATAAAAACATCTTTATAAATCTTATTAAATTTAATTTAAAAAAAAATTAAAGAAATAAAAAAGAAGCCATTGTTTTTGTGTTCAACATGATCTTATTAAATTTAATTTAAAAAAAAATTAAAGAAATAAAAAAGAAGCCATTGTTTTTTTTTTCAACATGAATTATACTCCTATATATAAATTAAGAAAAATTATATACTTTATTTGGTAACTATGAAGTAGTTACAACTGCTTCATAATTTCTTTAAATTATTGGACGAGGTCTAATTCTAATAAATAGATTAGGTTTAATTTAAAAAATAAATAATATCAAAAGAAAAATATATTAATATACATTTCTTTCAAATTTTAAAATTGGTTAATATTGAAAGAGAAATATAATAATATATAGTTGTTCAATTTGAATTATGCAATAATTTTTATATAATAAATATAGAATTATATTGGATACTTGATTTCATGTGAACAAAAAAAAAGTCAAAAGTCATAATTGATGCCACGTCAAAATTTGACATTTTCTTCTTTTCTGTTCCAAGTAAGAATTTTGTTCACTTTGTAGAAGCTAGAAATCAAGCACATACCTTAATCTCCAAGTTATTTAAAATTGTAGCTACTTGAAACATAGTAGGCCTACTCTTCCTAGAATTATTAACACAAGCTGAGGCAACCTTAGCCAATCTAATAATCGCCCTCGTATCAGAAGGCTTCGCAAGTCTAAGATCCAATAGCTCACTAAGCCTCATTTCTTTAATCAAAGGCAATGCCCATCTAACAAGTAACCCTTCCTCTGCTCTTCTTCCAGTCAAAAGCTCCAACAAAACCACACCAAACCCATAAACATCGCTTTCCTTGCAAGCTTCTCCCCCTTCATTACTCCAAAACTCATCATCCACATACCCCACAAGCCCCCTCTTTTCATTTGCTACCAAAGAAGATAACCCATAATCAGTAACTTTAGCACGCAACTTGTCATCTAGTAAAACATTCGATGCCTTAAAACATCCATGAACAATGTTTGGTGCCATCCCTCCATGCAAGTATTCAAGTCCTCTAGCCGCCCCGGCCGCGATGCTTAAACGCCGGCTCCAATCCAATACTGATGACGCCCCATCAGGGTTTTCATGCAAATAATAATCCAAACTCACCACACTAACGAATTCCATCACGATGATTCTCTCGCCAGGAGCCTGTGAAAATCCTAATATAGGGACTACGTTAGGATGCTGAGCCAAAGAGAGTGTTTTGAGCATTGAGGAGAACCCAAGACAAGCATTGCTCAGAACAAGGGAAGGGTGTATTCTCTTAACAGCAACTGGCTTCTGATCACTTGGTAATACAGCTGCATACACAGTACCTAAACGACCGGTACCAATAATTCTCCGATGATTAAACCCGTCTGTGGCAGCGTCGATATCTGTTGATGGGTACCACTGTGCAGAAATCCTGGCAGCTGGAAGGCTTTCTTCAGATTCTACAGGTTTCTTTCTACAAAAAAATATGAGGACTAAACAAAGAATAACAACAAATGCTGCAAGAAGAGACAATATAAAATAATAAGCAATTTCCTGGCTGGGTTTCATATTTGGTGATCTAGACTATGGTTTTGATTGATAATTTGGTTTTACTACGATCTCTGTAGAGGCAAAGAAGGTTTGTACAAATTAACTGCTGCGTGAAGAAATCATCATTTTGTGTATGGGGATTGAATTAATGCATGTTTGTGAGGGCAAGTTTAGAAAGTGAAGCAGACAGAAAGGGAAGTATCTTTCTAATCTGAGTGTGCTTTGAAAATTGAGTTGTTGTGGTAAGAAAGTTGGATATCTATCCCATTAGGTTAGTTGCGTTGGTTCACGGTTGACTGCCTTCTTCTGATGCACTTCACATATTTAAAAAAAAAAAAAAAAGTAATACAGAGTAGAGTAGGTTTGTTTATGTGTTTTAAATAGTGTTTTTGAAAAAAAAATTATTTTTTTACTTTAAATTTATTATTTTTATGATTTTAGATTATTTTGAAGTTGTGATATTAAAATAAATTTTAAAAAATTATTATTTTAATATATTTTCAAACAAGAAATATTTTAAAAAATAATCATTATTACAATTTCAAATAATATCATGAAATTATAAAATGATTGGTTAAATTTATTTTACTTTTAGAGATATATGAATTATATCAATTCAAAAAAAAAAAAACATTTCTTCATCAATGACATCTATGAATTACTAGTTAATTTTCATTTTCACTCATTGAATGGATAAAATGCTAGGAAAATAATTAATAGAGAATAAGTTTTTGGATAGAAATTGATAAAACTTACATATTTCAGGAGATTAAAAAAATTAAATCAACCCAAACATGATTTGTGAAGTTTTTAATCTCACTGTTTATTAGTCCTTTTTATTAAATAGATTGTAAAGCTTTCAGCTTTTATTTGTTCCATAATGACTGTGTGCTCAAAACATAAAGACCCCTAATTTTCTTCAAAACAGTGTTCATTAAGCATTATGATCTACTCGCATTTAATACCTTCAATTTTTGTTGGATTTAAATATAAAAATGGTTTAAGAATCAATGTGTAATTAAAAAGCATAATTTATATCTTTTTTTTTATCTTGCTGTTAAATTTTTATATGGAAAAAATAACCTTGACATTCCTTTAAACAAATAAAAAAACCCCTATTTCTATACCTTAAAATAATCATATTTTCCTAACTCAATGGAAAAATAAAAACAAAACATCATTTTTATCATGATCATCACAATTGACGATACCTTGAAAAATTATGACCCCGGGAAGGATGGTTTAAGAAAAATACATACATGATTATAAGATCTTTATTGGGTGTGAGGGCTATTTAGTAAAAAAAAAAATATTTTAAATTATTTTTTTATTTTTTGTATTATTTTAATGTATTGATATTAAAAATAAATTTTAAAAAATAAAATGTATATTATTTAATATAATTCTAAAAAAACATTTTAACAAACAATTTTTATCACAGCATAAACACTAGAATTTAGATAAAATGTTTTATTAAATTACTAAAAAATATCTTTATTAGAAAGTTATTTAATATAATTCTAAAAAAAATTTTAAGAAATAATTTTTATCACAGTATAAAGACTAGAATTTAGATAAAAATATCTTTACTAAATTACTAAAAAATATCTTTATTAGAAAAGTATGATAAAAAAAAATTAGATATTCCATTAATGAGATTCTTAATAAGAAAAAGTAAACATGACAATCCTTTTTAGAGTATAATTTAATGATTTAAATTAGATAAAAAAAAAAAAACTTTAAAAGGAAGGTTGAGATACTTTCTCACTATTAAATTATAAGTTTAAAATTTATTTTTATTTCAATATATTTTTTAAAAAATATGTTTTTTAAAATTTTTATAAATCAAAAATTATATTTTTATTGATTATTAAAAAAAAAATTAGACCTATCAAATGATTAAAGTTATAACAAGTTAACATCTCCATAATTTAAAATGTTTTTTATTAAAAAATATTAAAAATACCTAAAAAAAAAATTTCGCACGTTCAAAAATTGTTATCCAAACTTTTTTTTTTCGCACGTTCAAAAATTGTTATCCAAACCCGCAACGTGTCGTGTATCGTGAGGGAAGTATCCCTTTATTTCTAAAATTTCTAGTTGAATGTGATGTAGAGCTTCTTGTTGTTTTTTGGGTCAAAAGGGGAGATGGGCTCAAGTTTTCAGGCGTCAGTAGTCCACAATGACTTGGGCAAAAGTTCAAAACTCGGGATGTTATATGATTTATGTTAGTCGCTCGTCATCATTTTTTTTCTGTGGCAAAAAACCAGGAATGGAGAACAAAATCTACTTTCCTAGGTTTCATGGTCTTTTATTCTCTTGACACTATATATTTGATAATAACAGCTATGAGAAAGACTTCTGCAGTACAAGAGAACAACTACATTGTGGGCGGATCAAACCTCGCCGGCGGTGACCCCAGATTTCTGAAGACATTGCAAATTGATGGGAGACAGGAGAGGCAGCAAGGGTGCGACACTGGTTCATCCATTGCCATTTCAGGGGCTGTTTGGCTCTCTCTGTGTGCGCTCTGCTACATTTTGCTTTGCTTCTTGTTTTATGTTGTGTTTGGAATGAAGCATTTGACAATGAACTAATCAATGTATTGTTGTACATGCTATTTGATTTGTCATGAATATAACGTTATTGTAAGATTTTTATTCATACAGAAGAAGAAGAAGAAAGTTCTTGCAAGATTTTAAGTATCTAAGTTGACAAATAAAAATTAAAACATTAAAACTATATATTTTAAGTTGAATTATTTATTAATTCGATATGATTTTGCACTTTTACTTATTTTAATTTTTAAGCATATAAGTAAATTACGTAAATATTTCATAATGGGGATTTAATTTTGGTACTTGTAGATGCATGGAGTTAATGGGAGAAGGGACTTTTTTTATATAAAAAAAATTAATGTGATTGTAAGAATATTATAAAACTCATCTTGTTTTATTGTTGTAATGGAGACTTGATGCTCATTTATGCACCAATTTAATGCTTGAGTCTTTTTTTACCTGTAAATATTTTTTATTTTTAATAATAACATATTAAAATGATAAAAAAATAATAGTTTAAAACTAAAAAGCCAGTGTTGATTAATCTCTGGGCCGCACTCTTTGCTTGAATTTGATATAAGGCCTATCAATGAATGATATCATCATTTAAGCTCACACAAGCTAGCAGATCAGTTGTTGGCGACTCCCTTTCGGAGAGTGGGGGTTGCCGTCTAAGGACTCAGCGTGGGTTACTGTGTAAGTGCCAGCTGACTCGAATATATATATCTTGGTGAGGATCAACGATGATTAAATGTCATTTTTTCTTGAGAAAACACAGGTTGCTTCTGAAGGTCGGATAAAAAATCTTCCATCAAATTCATCACAAGCCACAACAATCGTTTTCACTTGATGAACCAACGCCTCCTTTCAAATGCAGATGCAGGTATATTTCCAAGGGATACTGTTGGATTCTAGTGTCGGCGGATTGTGAATGATCTTTGGACAGTGTCTCTACATGCTTTCAAATATTGCGTCCTTTCAGAGTCCTGGATACGCTTCGACTCCTTAGAAATTTATATCCACAACACCATTCGGCAGTTTTGAGGCGACTCCACAATTAGCTGCGGTGTCGGGCGTCGTTTTCCGAGAAGATGATAGGAAGAACTCAACAAGGTCCAGTGAACACAGCTCCAAAAGGAGCTAGCCAGAGCCCCTCTCTTAAATAGGAAGGGCCCATGAGGGACCAACCATGTCTGCCAGCTACATTATATGCTTTATAGCCCACCCCTCTCTACGGGAATCTGTTAGCTGCAGGCAGAAACCAGTAATGAAGTTACAGACCACCCCTAGCATTTAACCTTTCAGGGCAGAGATGAAGATTTCGCAGTTTTTCCATGGTAACATAAAAGAAGTAGAATTTACCAAATGAGAGAGAAATCACGAAATGATAAGCAGTGTTAGTAGGCATCACAATCAACAAATGAACATTAATGAAGTCAGTCGATCGAATTTGGTAGAAGGGATTTTCATTGCATTTAATGACTCTTTACAGTGTACAATACCATTACCAACATCCTTGGTTACCTTAACAACACTTTTCTTTTGCCTTTCTCCTTCTCTCCATAAATTAACCTTTCAACTATCTTTCCTCCTCCTTTAGAAAGGACAACACCAAAGTGGAGGTAAAAACTGGGAATTTAGCCCAACAAAGAAGAAAACTGGAGCTTATAATTATGTGCTCCTTCCATATCCATGTTGGCAGCAAAACTTTTGAATGTTGACTCAAGCTACACTCCCATGATCTGAGGTATCTTCATAGTAATAAGGCGTCAACTTGCCATCCTTCTTAGCAATCTTGGAGAGATTCTCTGCCCCAATTTCTTGCAGCATTTTTACCACCCTCCTCATCGATGGGCGGTTAATGGGAAGGGGACTGGTGCAGAGGATGCCGATGTTGAGGACTTTGCATATCTCTTCCTTGAAACAAGAATCAAGTTTTGGGTCAATTACATGGTCCACTCCTTTCTGATCTAAAGTGGTGCATACCCACTTGACCAAGTCCTTTTCTCCGTACTCTGGATCAACAGGGCGTTTGCCGGTTACCAACTCGAGAATAACTACACCAAAGCTGTAGATGTCACTCTTCTCGTTCACACGAAGGGTGTACGCATACTCTGCATCAAGTTTCTCAAAAGAAGTTAGTTCCAATTTCGTAAGTTGTTGGAATTGGATGGCAAGCCATTAATATATTTGTCAGGAGCTACAAAGGTGATTGATAAGAGAATACCAGTCTTTATGAATTGGCAATCTAATGCTAAAAAATATCCATATAATTATTGCTGTACTATAAACACAAGAAAACCAGTGCAGGCTATATGGGACTTGATTAAAAAAACGGAATTTCAGTACAGATCATTTTCAAACACATCAAATCTGAAGTTCCAGAACCAGTTAGGAAGAAGTTTAATCACTAACCTGGAGCAATGTAACCACAGGACCCTGCAATGACTGACATGGATTTAGGCTTTCCGGTTGAATCAACCACCTTGGCTACACCAAAATCAGCTACCCGAGCTCCAAAATCACCATCCAGTAATATATTGTTGGACTTCACATCTCTATGAACAATGGGAGGAACACAATCATGATGCAAATAAGAAAGTCCCTCAGCTGCATCAGCAACAATCTTGTACCTTGTTGGCCAATCCAACAAACCTCCCTTGCTACTATGCAACAAGTCACCCAAGCTACCATTAGGCATGTATTCATACACCAAAAGCTTGTAGTCTTTATTGGTACAGCAACAC